TACAGTGTCAGTATATGGAGGATGGGTATACAGTGTCAGTATATGGAGGATGGGTATACAGTGTCAGTACATAGAGGGTGGGTATACAGTGTCAGTATATGGAGTGTGGGTATACAGTGTCAGTATATGGAGGGTGAGTATACAGTGTCAGTATATGGAGTGTGGGTATACAGTGTCAGTATACAGGTCACGATTTCGTAATGAATTGTTGTGTAGCACATCTAAAACACTGACAATGTTTGCACTTACATGTAAGACACAGATGCCGCGCTCAGCAATATTCCAGCTATATGACGGAGGTTTGCAAATAATTTGGACCAGATGTCCAGCAATTGACATCACGAGCATCGATCCACGCAGTTGGGGTAGGATGACATGCATCAACCAAGTCAGCGAGCCTGACCACCAGATCCCGTTAGTCACCTCTTAAGACAAGCATGGGTTGCAGAAGACCTTTTCAAGACCTTTTCACGGCCCAGCTCGAGTGACTCATGAAAGTTTCAGAAGACTTAATGAAGCACCTGTACAACCAACCTATTCTGCTCAATGAATCAGCTATCTGAGATCTGAGGGAATATAGTTTCATCAATGCCATACAAAAAAGAGCCTGTATATTCTTCCTAGCAGTATCCAAATCGACTTCAAATTGCGATGTGAGAGGGGAAATGGGTTGGAAGGGTTGCTTGACAAAACAAAGGATTGATATATTTAGATTTTACTCCAAATTATCAAAACAGAATAGAAGTCAACTTGACACTGTTTACGAAGGGTCTAAACGAAGCCAAGTATCTTGGATTTCCAAAGTTATCTCCCTTGCATCCAAACACGATTGGAATGTGGATTTTATGGACGCATCATATTCAAGAAATATTTCTCACAAAAAAGAAAGATGTTGTGGGTTCAAGAATTATGGAACGATAGGAATTTAACACATGGCAATATGCTCATGATCAGAACGTACAGAACTTTCAAGCAAGACAGAATGGAAGAGAAATATGAACATTGCACTATGTCCAGACACAAGAAAAGATACTCGCAAAATAGGTCGCTAAACTTTGCTATGCTTGTAATACAAAAAGGTGAAACATGTCTTAACAGATAGAGAATCTTACCCGTGTGTCTTTCGATATCAAATATATCAACGAGTGTTCATATATCCATCAAAAGACACGAGGGTGAGATTTTATTTATCACCCAATATCATTCTTCCAACTTTTTCGGTTAGTAATAAGCAGTGTCGTAAGTGTAAGAGAGAGAGAGAGAGAGAGAGAGAGTGTGTGTGTGTGTGTGTGTGTGTGTGTGTGTGTGTGTGGATGTTTTTTGTTTGTTTAAATTGTTTTTTTAACGGCGCACTCGGCAATATTCCAGCTATATGACGGCGGTCTGTAAAACGTCCAGACAACCCAGTGATTGAATTCGTGAAAATCGATCCACGCAAGTGGGATACGATGACACGTATCAACCAAGCCAGCGAGCCTGACCACCCGATCCCGTTTGTTGTCTGACCCGTGAAGATCCGGGGTAGAATAGGTCTTCAGCAACCAATGCTAGTCATAAAAGGCGTCCATTGTCGTAAGAGACGACTAACGGGATCGGGTGGTCAGGCTTGCTGACTTGGTTGATGCATGTCATTGATCCCAATTGCGTGGATCGATGCTCATGATATCAATCACTGGATTGCCTGAGTGCGGCGTTAAACAACAACCCAACCATCGTTAGTCGCCTCTTACAACAAGCATAGTCGCCTGTTACGGCAAGCATGGGTTGCTGGAAACCTATTCTGACCCGGATCTTCACGGGTAAAAGCCCTCTTATGGCAACCCGGGAATGCCGCGACGCAACGAGGAAGCCGAATCATACATGTACGTTTATAAAATACGCTGAGATAAGACAAAAAAACCATAACATTGACGCAGAGCATCAAAGTTGCCGAGGTAAGGAATAATAATCTAATATATAATCTATAATCTAAATATAGCTTGAATATACTACACGGAGCTTCTGCATAGCAGAAGAGAAAGGTATATATGAATCTGCATAATGGTATTTACCACAAATAAAACAAGGCTGGTATGCCAAAAACAGTATTTTTTATTAGCTTAATTTGCGTATGGGAGCTGTAGTTTAAATTAAATTGTATGAAATGGCAGATCGTTCTGGCCCAAAAATATACGTGGAGAATGCAACAACAAGATGCTTATAAACAGCCTACAATAAAGGGAGATGCATATGAAGAAATAATATGTGGAATGACTCCATGTTATCGAGTGCTCTATATTATCGCGGTATGGGGTCAATCGTGTTATCTTCTTCTCCCTGTCGACTGTTTACTCGGGAACATCTAAGCACGGCATTCATCGCGTGATCGAAGGCAGGACTCGTTGCAGTATGTCATGGATACTCGCATGCATACACGACGGTCGCTAACTTCTTAATGATAGTGTCTGGAATGTTTTTGAAGTGGAATAACCCTGAACCCATTCGAAATCGGGAAGAAAAGAACCCATTTGTTTGGACGAAGTCCTTGACCCAACCTAGGTCATGTGCATAATGATTATGCACAATCCAAAACAGGAGGTGATGTGAACCACACGTATCATACCACTTGATAATCATACCGCGATAACAGAGAGTTGCAAGTCCCTGAGTCGCTCACGACTGCAACCAAGTCAGCGAACCTGACCACTCGATCCCGTTAGTCGCCTCTTACGACAAGCATGGATTGATGAAGAACAGTTATTATTTATTATTTATATTATATATTTTTATTGTTCTAACTCGGATCTTCACGGGTGACCATGATGCAACACAGAAATTCATGCATAGTACTAAATAGATGTCAGAACGCCTGCCATTCGAATCAGTAAATATTTGGTGCATGTGTGACTGAGCCATGAAACTTACCTACATGTACATACATAGGTTTATTAGATGATGGGTTTATAATGACAGTTAATTACCAGCATACCTACATGTAGCAGGGTACCTTTATCATATTCTTCCTTGTTACATCATTATTCATACATCATCATCATAATCATCTATATGTTCATTGTTTGTCTTGTCTACAGTTGCATGTCAGTAAATAACTCTTTAAACTACTCAACACCCTTATTTTCAGTCTCTGGGAATCTCTCACCAGATCTTCCCCTTCAACCTTCTGTCTATCTTTAGACATTTTTCACACCTGTAGGGTTTCCCTCAGTCTATTTATATCTTACATAAGCAATTCCTTTGATGCTTAATTCATTTTTTAATTGGCCACCCTGGTCCTCTACAGGTAGCTTCCTTATATACCTGACTTCCTCCTAACATCATGTGCTGCTGTTGAGGAGGAAGGATATTTTCTTTTCTCCAGGTATGGAATGGCCACTTTTCAATCTGTTTTCATTTGCTTCTGTCAGAAATTAATATCTATATTCTATCTATTTATTCTATTTTCTTCAGATAGTTCAACAGCAGCCACCCCCATTGTAATAAACACATTATCATCATCTGCCTGTGTCTGTGTATCCCAACGGCCCGAGCCGGATCATAAACACCAGCCCGGCTACATACATAAGGATCAGTTTGAAGTAAATCTTAATGCTGTAATAAATTAGCTTTAACATTTCACGCCCATGATGTGTATGTTTCGTTTCTGCAACCACGTGGTGTTAATCTTCAATAAACCAAAATGGCGACATACAAGCTATCAATTTAAAGTACCCTTTGCACTTAAGATAAGATGACACTTTAATATCCCGAAGGAAATTTGGGTTACATCAAGTCAAGTTTCCAGGTTTTTTATAAACACATACAAATAAAAACGGGCATCACAATCGTTATTAACATTAAATGTGTCACGAGCGAATAAATGCTCAACAATGATCGACATTTTAGTGTTATATCGGAATATAAAGGTGCATGTGCAGTTATCGGCCAGGCGAATCACATATATGTGAATAGTCGTCACAAAAGGCACTTTTCACTTAAAAAAACACACCGTGAAGCCATCACATCATTGTTACCACAGTGTAATTGGGTATATTTTCGAGGAATCATTACATCACACCTTCTCAAAATGCCAGACGGTTGTCGACCAATGCTTGCGTTATATCGAGAAGTCTACCTCACTATACTGCGATGAGTGAAATAACAAATCCATTTCAAAGCTTATGTCAATACTCAGTATGCATTACGAAATGCACAAAAGATATTCATGTTAGAATGAATGACATGCCTTCAATTGTATCGATGAATATGCGACGTACCTGAATGCCTGCTAATTCTACTCCCTGTTCAACTGAGGGGCTGTCACCGTGTGTGTCCTCGCAGTGGGCTACCAGGAAAGCATGCATGGATTACTTGGAAATGGCATGAATTCTGCCTAACTATCTCCGTTCTAAGAATGTTATCTGTCTAAATTGAAAGCGATGATGACTACATACATGTTAAAAATATTGTCACGTGTACACTAACTGTCCTTGATCGCTGATTTAATGTTAGATACCGTTGCTGTTTTCGTGATCGGTGGAACAATGCTTGAACATGTTGCTATAACTGACCGCACAATAAAGGTAGCCTACGCAGGTTTGTTTATGAATAATAAAATAATAATAATGATATATTCAAATTACCTACCTTAACCTTTTTGTCCCATCCCCGATTTCAGACTGCAGTGGCAGACGCAACTCAACTCGGGATCTGTTGTGACATCATCAAGCAAGTTACTTTCGGTTTCGAACTCCACACAGGGTCTGATCGATAGCGCGTGAATAGGAAGGACTCGGTACTTGCCGTAAATAGTATAATATAAATAAAATACAATATAAACATTTCACAATTTTGTAACAGTTTATTGTCCTTTGATCATTTTGTGTGTGTATGGAATATATGATAAGAATACAACTGCAACACTTCATCATTCAAAGTTTTTCAGGTCACATCATTTCTCTGAAAGCTCATTGGATGCATGACGTATGTTACTAGTAGCAGTATAAATTAACTGTGCGTCTTATTAGGAGCTCATTCAGACTCATTGGTACATGGTGTCAGTATATTAATGATATTAATCAGATGAACAAGGAAACAAGGAAATAGACTCTCACGACAATGTTGTAAGTATGCCGTCAACCGTTTATACAGTAAATCATATCATTGAACGATGAACAGGGTATGGGATGGAAACAGCCATTGGGCTCTGAGGCCCAAGGCAGTAGTACGAGAGTACTAATGTGGTAGCCAAAGCATGAATTCAGTTGATGAATGTTCAACTATAATTCTTGTCTGTCAGGTGTCAGAATGAATATTAAACCTCAACGGGTGGATTGACGATATATTTTATTGAAGGGGACCATTTATAAATACGTCGTGGTATCCAATATATCGATTTTTTGAATATACAGACCAAATCATGAAGATACATAAGGATTGCTAAGGTACATAAGGATTAGCTACATCATTTCTAGGAATAGTCCTGTCACGATCCTTATGTGATAGAACAGAAGAAGAAAGTGAACGCCGGGTGTACGTATCTACCATCTATGAATAACACGTACACATTGTGATCCCCCGTCTCCGTTCTGCAGTGTTGAATGAACGACTAACCGTGACAAATCAATCTGCGTCAGGTCTGTTCACATACAGTGTGCGCCCAGTCTTAATGATATAGCGCACTGAATGGTGCATGTGTGTGTGAGAGAGAGAGGTGGGGTAGTATGGGGGTATACAGCGTCAGTATATGGAGTGTGGCGTCAGTATATGGAAGGCGGGTATACAGCGTCGGTATATGGAGTGTGGATATACAGTGTCAGTATATTGAGTGTAGGTATACAACGTAAGCATATGGAAGGTGGGTATACACTGTTAGAACTATTATGTAGGGTGAGTATACAACGTCAGTATATGGAGGCTGAGTATACAACGTTAGTATATTGAGTGTGAGTATACAGCGTCGGTATATGGAATGTGGGTATACAGCGTTAGTATATGGAGGGTGAGTATACAGCGATAGTATATGGAGGGTGGGTATAGAGTGTCAGTATATGGAGGGTGGGTATACAGCATCAGTATATGGAGGGTGGGTATAGAGTGTCAGTATATGGAATGTGGGTATACAGTGTCAGTATATGGAGGGTGGGTATACAGCGTTAGTATATGGAGAGTGGGTATACAGTGTCAGTATATGGAGTGTGGGTATACAGCGTTAGTATATGGAGTGCGGGTATACAGTGTCAGTATATGGAGGGTTAGTATACAGCGTTAGTATATGGAGGGTGGGTATACAGTGTCAGTATATGGAGGGCGGGTATACAGCGTCAGTATATGGAAGGTGGGTATACAACGTCAGTATATGGAGGGTGGGTATACAGCGTTAGTATATGGAGAGTGGGTATACAGTGTCAGTATATGGAGTGTGGGTATACAGTGTCAGTATATGGATGGTGGGTATACAGCGTCAGTATATGGAGTGTGGGTATACAGCGTTAGTATATGGAGGGTGGGTATACAACGTTAGTATATGGAGTGCGGGTATACAGCGTCAGTATATGGAGCGCGGGTATACAGCGTTAGTATATGGAGTGTCAGTATACAACGTTAGTATATGGAAGGCGGGTATACAGCGTCGGTATATGGAGTGTGGATATACAGTGTCAGTATATTGAGTGTAGGTATACAACGTTAGCATATGGAAGGTGGGTATACACTGTTAGAACTATTATGTAGGGTGAGTATACAACGTCAGTATATGGAGGCTGAGTATACAACGTTAGTATATTGAGTGTGAGTATACAGCGTCAGTATATGGAATGTGGGTATACAGCGTTAGTATATGGAGGGTGAGTATACAGCGAAAGTATATGGAGGGTGGGTATAGAGTGTCAGTATATGGAGGGTGGGTATACAGCATCAGTATATGGAGGGTGGGTATAGAGTGTCAGTATATGGAGGGTGGGTATACAGCGTTAGTAAATGGAGAGTGGGTATACAACGTTAGTATATGGAGTGTGAGTATACAACATTAGTATATGGAATGTGGGTATACAGCGTCAGTATATGGAGTGTGGGTATACAGCGTTAGTATATGGAGGGTGAGTATACAGCGATAGTATATGGAGGGTGGGTATAGAGTGTCAGTATATGGAGGGTGGGTATACAGCATCAGTATATGGAGGGTGGGTATAGAGTGTCAGTATATGGAATGTGGGTATAGAGTGTCAGTATATGGAGGGTGGGTATACAGCGTTAGTAAATGGAGGGTGGGTATACAACGCTAGTATATGGAGTGTGAGTATACAACATTAGTATATGGAATGTGGGTATACAGCGTCAGTATATGGAGTGTGGGTATACAGCGTTAGTATATGGAGGGTGAGTATACAGCGATAGTATATGGAGGGTGGGTATAGAGTGTCAGTATATGGAGGGTGGGTATAGAGTGTCAGTATATGGAGGGTGGGTATAGAGTGTCAGTATATGGAATGTGGGTATACAGTGTCAGTATATGGAGTGTGGGTATACAGCGTTAGTAAATGGAGAGTGGGTATACAGTGTCAGTATATGGAGTGTGGGTATACAGCGTTAGTATATGGAGTGCGGGTATACAGTGTCAGTATATGGAGGGTTAGTATACAGCGTTAGTATATGGAGGGTGGGTATACAGTGTCAGTATATGGAGGGCGGGTATACAGCGTCAGTATATGGAAGGTGGGTATACAACGTCAGTATATGGAGGGTGGGTATACAACGTTAGTATATTGAGTGTTAGTATACAGCGTCGGTATATGGAATGTGGGTATACAGCGTTAGTATATGGAGGGTGAGTATACAGCGAAAGTATATGGAGGGTGGGTATAGAGTGTCAGTATATGGAGGGTGGGTATACAACGTTAGTATATGGAGTGTGAGTATACAACATTAGTATATGGAATGTGGGTATACAGCGTCAGTATATGGAGTGTGGGTATACAGCGTTAGTATATGGAGGGTGAGTATACAGCGATAGTATATGGAGGGTGGGTATAGAGTGTCAGTATATGGAGGGTGGGTATACAGCATCAGTATATGGAGGGTGGGTATAGAGTGTCAGTATATGGAATGTGGGTATACAGTGTCAGTATATGGAGGGTGGGTATACAGCGTTAGTAAATGGAGAGTGGGTATACAGTGTCAGTATATGGAGTGTGGGTATACAGCGTTAGTATATGGAGTGCGGGTATACAGTGTCAGTATATGGAGGGTTAGTATACAGCGTTAGTATATGGAGGGTGGGTATACATTGTCAGTATATGGAGGGCGGGTATACAGCGTCAGTATATGGAAGGTGGGTATACAACGTCAGTATATGGAGGGTGGGTATACAGCGTTAGTATATGGAGAGTGGGTATACAGTGTCAGTATATGGAGGGTGGGTATACAGCATCAGTATATGGAGTGCGGGTATACAACGTTAGTATATGGAGTGTGGGTAAACAGCGTCAGTATATGGAGGGTGGGTATACAACGTTAGTATATGGAATGTGGGTAAACAGCGTCAGTATATGGAGTGTGCGTATACAACGTCAGTATATGGAGGGTGGGTATACAGCGTTAGTATATGGAGAGTGGGTATACAGTGTCAGTATATGGAGGGTGGGTATACAGCATCAGTATATGGAGTGCGGGTATACAGCGTCAGTATATGGAGTGTGGGTAAACAGCGTCAGTATATGGAGGGTGGGTATACAACGTTAGTATATGGAATGTCGGTAAACAGCGTCAGTATATGGAGGGTGGGTATAGAGTGTCAGTATATGGAGGGTGCGTATACAGCGTTAGTATATGGAGTGCGGGTATACAGTGTCAGTATATGGAGGGTGAGTATACAGCGTTAGTATATGGAGTGTGGGTATACAGCGTCAGTATATGGAGTGTGGGTATACAGCGTTAGTATATGGAGTGCGGGTATACAGTGTCAGTATATGGAGGGTGAGTATACAGCGTTAGTATATGGAGTGCGGGTATACAGTGTCAGTATATGGAGTGCGGGTATACAGCGTCAGTATATGGAGTGCGGGTATACAGCGTTAGTATATGGAGTGTCAGTATACAACGTTAGAATATGGAATGTGGGTAAACAGCGTCAGTATATGGAGTGTGAGTATACAACGTTAGTATATGGAATGTGGGTATACAGCGTTAGTATATGGAGTGCGGGTATACAGTGTCAGTATATGGAGGGTGAGTATACAGCGTCAGTATATGGAGGTTTGGTATACAACGTTAGTATATGGAGTGCGGGTATACAGTGTCAGTATATGGAGTGCGGGTATACAGTGTCAGTACTTCAATTCTTTATTCATGTACATATGCTAGCCAGCGACCCATGGTACAATATTTGGTCCATCATTAACATTGATAGGCTTAGTGTTTGGAGTCTAACATTCATAGCATGGTATATAAAAGTTGCAACATTTGTAATAACAGTTTCATTGTTTTCCGCCATAAGCATATTGAATTTAGCAAGAGTAGGATGTACAAAATACTGCTGTGCTAAATACTGAAGACGAAGTTCATCATAAGCGTTACAAATTAATGAAAAATGATATTCATTCTCGACATATCTTTGGTTGCAACTATTGCACAATCTCTGCTCTCGTGGAGTATTAACGTATCTACCCGTCTCAATGTGGAGAGTGTGGGAGCTACAGCGAAACTGGGCTAGTGCAACACGAAATTTGTTGATAGTGATAGCAGACAAATACAACTCTAGACGAAATGAATTTTTGAAAAGTGTATAATGGAACATTTTAGAACTATTTGCTAAAGACCAATGCCAATCCTGTTCGTAAGCAAATTTTAACCGACCTTTACATTCGGAAATAAATGATTCGGGGCAAAAAACATATTGGTTCTCCCATATATATCCAAATCCAAGGCTGTTTAAAAGAGTTTTGACTTTTGTAGCCCAATTAGTTTTACCATGTTTGGCTAGCTGAAATAACATATCATAACTTTTCTTAGGATATCGTGAATTTTATACAGCGTTTATACGCAGAAATGTACAGTGGGTATCTTCCACACTCTCCTCGCACAACATGATTGGGAGTAGACGTTTTAACACCTAGCATACGTTTAC